GTGTCAGGTAAAAAAAGTTATTTAGCCTTCCCAAACCTGAGCCTCACGCGCCGCCTATGATTGCCACTATTATAACTTCTCGCCCACCTTTTTCAGTATGATATTCGGGGTTTTTTCCCCAATGCCCTTTCATAATAAAGTGCTTTACAAAAAGCCTTACAAGGGACAACGATAAAACACCAAGCAGAGATAAAGGAGAATAAAAAAAGGCAGAGAGAAAGTGGTATTCCAAAGCCTCACAATGCATTAAAGTGATAAACACTAAAGCATGTGTTTATGTGTCAGACCTTTGTTCATGACAATCATACTATTGGTAATTTCAGTCACACTATTCCTAACTTTTGTACATTTTGTATCATACATATAGTGATGTCACGGTCATAGAGAAACAGGCCGGCTCACTTATTAACTTAAATTGGATAAGAGACGTCTGCAATTCAGCGTATTTATTTTTCAACTTTAGCCCTTTTTCAAATCATATTTAAAAGTTGTTTCATCTGCTAATAGTTATTTTCCCTCGCCATTGATCCAATTGAGCCCAGATCAGACATGACGCTGCACTTTGGAGGCGGGGCTTAAGGCTCTCTAAAGTATTTGTATTCTCGAGTCAGGCCATTTTGGCTTCATGCTTCCCTGAGCATTTGTGCAATTGTCATGGGATTGAAAGTAAACCCAAATCCAATGCTGTATCCACTTCTCTTAATAAATCCATGGTAGTGCTGGTACAGAGGTTTTTTGTATATCTGCATCCGCCATTGACTAAAACCTTAAAAGCTATTGGTCGCTCTGTGTTGTGCCCTCAGCAGTAGAGCCTCTGAAAATCCTCCCATGACTCCCAAAGGTTATGTGCAGGTCAAAATGACTGCATGATACATCCTTTCACATTAAATATTCATCACGTCAATAGGGATTGAATATGTTTATTTACTCTCCAAATGCTTCAATAAACATACAGCGTTGCACAAGATGTTTCTGATGAGCTGACTTAAGTTTTATAATTAAAAAGAATTTGGAAGAAAGGAAAAGTCCAACATTAAAAAAATATATATAGCTGCTGACCTCCTCAGTTTGCCCTCTCTCTGTCTCACAAGTGGCATTTCAAAGTCACACATTTCTCTCTGCAGTCTCATCTTGTCTGCGTGGAGAGCTGCGGATATACACACTGTATGAATAAAAGAGTGGGAGATAAGGAAAAGGTCTCTCTCAGACACTATGAGCGCTTATCTTGAAACTACAAATCTCCAGCTCCCTGCTCTCGCCAAATGTTTCAGTCATTAAAACACTTTATTCGCTTTAGGGCTAATATTCTTTAACACTTCTTACATTTTGGGCTGAAATAACGGCTCTATTGTCCAAAAAACTCCGGAAAGATTGACATGTCACGGTTCAATGTGAAACTGTTATATCTGTTGCCTACTTTGTCTCATTTGAATGTGTTTTAAGAATTGTAATCACACGTTAAGGAAGGGATAAGTTACATAAACTAATCTGCACAGTCCGATACTCTTGTTGTGTGTAATGTGAAGATGTGTTTCCCGCACATAAATATGGAAGTATAAACTCCTACATCTTCATCCTGTGAGACATGTACAGGAAAACACAAGCAAATGAGTGCAACCATGCATGATTATGCATACTTAGACATTTAGTGGACATTTATGTATGAGCAGAAACGCTTGTAGCACAGTCACAAGGTTATACTATATCACAGGCAAACACACATACACACTTCGCTTTCCTTTTAGGGTAAACACGCTATTTAACACCTGGACTCTGTAAAGAACATCCATAAACATTCATCTATTTGCATATTGAAAAAAATGGATAGCAAAAAAAAAGGAGGGGTCTGAGCTCATGCGGGACCCGGCAGCTACTGTCTAAACTAAATACTGCCGTGATGAAACGCAATATCATGGATTATCAAGGATTCTCTCTGAAACAGTTTGGAGCTCAAAGGCTTTCTCTCTTGCCGGTTATACCACAAGGTGAGTTTTTACTTCCTGCTTCTTCACACACATGCTCTCCAGTACAGGTTAGCTCTGAGTGTTAGCGATGCTAATGTGAACACCGACCATATTACGTCCAAAACAGTCGGGCATTGTTTCTGATAGCAAAGTTTCTGATTGGGCCGTGGGTCCACATTTCAGATATTACATCATATCGGACGCAAATCTGGATCAGCTCCGTTGTTCCCCCGTTTTTAGAGATTTGGGTACGGAGGAAAAGAGAGAGTTTTATTTTCTGACGAGTTCCCGACACACCGGGGACACATATTTATGTATAAAAGACATAAAAAAGTGCATTTTGCATGATAGGTCCCCTTTAAGTTTTTCATTGCCATATCTACACTGTAGCTAATGTGCACATGACAATAAAGCCTTGGATCTTGAAAATCTTGGTAAATGATGATTATATTATTGTGTCCTTCTGTCCACAGGACACACAAAGCTGCCTTTTTGAAGTGAAGCCATTTGATTGCAATGACAATGCTTTACATTTGCAACCAGGCAACCAATAATTCAATAGGTTATTAAATCATCTGCATTCCCCTTGCTTAACCCCTCCACCCTTCAAGTACTGAACATCATTACTAGAGCGACTACCCTTAAGCCCTCCCACTCGGATAAAGCCTGTGTTTTGCTAAAGTCATAATTTACGCTGATTAGCAGAGCTCCCTGCAGGAGCACCTCACTGTGATTTGCACTTAATAATTCCTCTCTTCTCCTTCCAGCAGGTAAACGTCCTCAGAGCGGGGGTGACAGGATAGGATGTCATTGTGGTTTTTAATGGAGATCACATGACTAGACACTATGCACATAACACCAATTATATTTCCCGAAGGCATGAATGATGAAGTGCTGCTGACTTGCTAGTGGTTTCCTTTACCTTCGTGACTGAAATTGCATTGATTGAGAGTGAGAAAGCATATGAAAAGCCATTAGAGATATGCATGCTTTATAACTGTACATTTAAACACATGTTCCCTCTCCACAGTGAGAGGGGGGGTCAGCCAGCCGGGCTGCATTTTAATGGATCTGGAGCTAACATTTTATACAGCTCACACACAATGGGCCCAGTGTGGCTGTAATACGCCTACAGTGAGCTATTTTTCAGCACCAGTGGAGCTCAGTACTGTGTACATTGGGACACTGTGTTACAAGATTAACTCGGAGCATTTTGGTCTGCGGTCATTTCTGCTGAATTTATATATATTATGCTTGGATTCCAGTGTGGCAGAAAATGATCCCACACTGAGATGCTAGTGAACCGCAGCAGGGTGTGAAGTAGTTGGACGATTTACAATAAAAACTCATCCAGATTTATTTCAATGTTTTTTTTAATGTATTGATAAAAGGTTTTATAAGCTGGAATGCTAATAAATATACTTGCACAGTGCGAATAAATTAGAAGTTGAGCATGGAATAGGAATAACTCTATACTAGTATGTTCACTGGCAGAAGATATTATGAACACAATGGGAATATGCCAGTAGGGACATCCGGAGCCGAAGGGAATCTGGGTTTCAGTCTCACATTTCAGTCACACTTCTTGCATTGTTGCTCTGGGGATGTAATGTTGGTCCATCAGACCGTTCAACAACTAAAAACATCCCAACAAATGTTGGATGGATTGCTGTGAAATGTACTAAATCCTTTCGGGACGTTCCTACTGATTTATAATCCACTGACTTTTACTTTAGGGCCTCCATGTGGGTTATACTATAGCAACATGTCTTGACAAATATTCAATAAATTGCCATTCAATGTTGTATAAACATTGAGGGTCCCTTAACGATGAATCATAATTACTTTTGTTGGTGGAAATTGTGATTTTGAAGGCTGTTGAATCCATGCAAAGAAGACATTTATTTTTCCTCAAGAATAATTGTAACCAAAACCAGTGATTAGTTGATGATGTATATCCATAAACTACTACTTTGTGTTTGGCACTAATTAGCAAATGTTCGCATACTAAGATGCAAAACTAATGTGGTAAACAATATTAATGCTAAACCTTAGCTAAAGCGTATTAGCCTTCTGATGTTAGCAAATAACACAAAGCACTGCTGTGTCTAATAATTATTTTATGAGGAATAGCTTGAAAATACTAACTTCCTCATCAGCATTTGCTGTCTGTGCATTTTTGTCCAAATTAGCAAATGTTAATGCTTAACTAAGCTGGTAAACATACCTGATAAACATTAGATTAAGCGTGTTAGCCTTCTGATGTTAGCAAATTACACAAAGCACTGCTGTGCCTAATAATTATTTTATAAGGAATACCTGAAAACAAAAAAACAACCTCGTCACTTTGCAGTGTTTTGTGTTATTATCAAATGCTAGTTAATGCTTAACTAAGGTGGTAAACATTATACCTGCCAAACAGCAGCTTGTTAGCAGTGTCATTATAAGCATGTTAGATTTCTGATATTAGCAAACAACACATCAGAATCAGAATCGTTTTTATTAAACACACGAGGAATTTGCTTTGGTATGGTGCATCCAAAGACACAAAGCAGCACTGTGCCTAATGGCCTTCTCAAAAAGCTGCTCACATGGCTGTAGGATGGTAGTCGTCACTTCTTGATGTCTTCAGTAGCACACTAAAATAAACTCAAGCTTCGCAGTGTGAACTCGATGAAACTGACTGCTTTCTGAACGCAGCTGCGGCCACTTGAAGTGTTGGATGCTTTATTTAATGACTGACAAATCTAATAACTCTTTTACGAGAAGCTACAGTTTACTCCACATGTGTTGATGCAAGATCATTTACTGAGAAATCTCTGCAGAACTGTACTTCATATTTAGTGAGATGCCCAGATGTCTCTGTGCGTATATCATCATTAGGCTGCCCATTATGTACAGAGAGAGGACAGTGATACAAGATGGATGAGGGGATGGAAGCAATGTTTACTTTTTAACCCTTTAACTGCCGGACCAAGAAAAAAGCCATGGAAAAATTATTGTTTTGCATTTTCTTATCAAATAAGCACAAACACATTTTTTTTTTTGACTGACCACACAGTTTTGTTTTTATGAGCCTCTACCAAATGGTCGAGCTGGCCTTCTATGGTAAAAATACATTTTCAACAATCATCATATACAGTACAGTATTTGTATGCATCAAACTCAAATAAAACACAAACTCAAATACATTTGTTTCTTTTATGCTATATTATGTATATATATAATAATATAATAATAATATAATAATAATAATGTATTCCTTTTTATTTGACGTATACATGTGTACCCTTCCATTGAATTTGAATAGTCATTTAATAACGAAAATGGTTGAATATGTATCGACCCATGCCTGATTCTAATTAGATTGTTATACAGCGCAAACACACATCTCTTCTTGCTTTCCTTGTTGCTATTGTTGCTCACAGTTGATCTTTGCACCTAATCTGCTGGAAAACAAAGCATGTGATGTGATCAGAGCCAACCAAGGAGAGTATGTGTGTAAACAGCAGGCTGCGGTGTGATCTGTGCCCTGAGAATGACTCCACATTTCTTATTTGTTTCTGGCATTGGAGACAGCCGAGCAGCTGCCAAGCGCTCTGCGTTGGCCTCGTTGTAAATATTAAGAGTTAATTCCCTCTGTAAAAGTCATCTGTAAACCATCTGCACTGCTGTTAATCACAGTGAAATCGCTTCGCCAACAATCCACATTTACCTTATTCAAATTAAAGCGCATTAAGTGTAAATATTCACTGGTTGCAAACGCACATGGACACACACACACAGTTTAGATTGACTGTCTTTGTGAATTTAAACAAAAAATGAACACTAAATTAATTTGCTAGTTGAATTTGTTTATTTGAAATACCCTTATTGTTTACACCATCTCATGTGATGTTATACTGCATAGGTTTTTATTAATATGCAGCAAACTTAAATATGAACTGAATTGAACTGGGTGGACAGAGAGGAGAGGAGAGGCAGAGATGTATGACATGTTAAAAACACTACTGAACACTGAATTCGCGAATATACATTTGTGAATTTGTTTATTTTAAATACCCAGTTGTTAACACTATCTCATCTGATGTTATACTGGGTTTTTTCTTAATATACAGCGCATTAAGTGTAAATATTCACTGGTTGCAAACACATATGGACACACACACAGTTTAGATTCACTGTCTTTGGCTGGCAACAGTAGGCCTCTCTCCAACTCTGTAGGGTGGAAGGTTGGAGGTAGGTACACACACACACACTCACACACACACACACACACACACACACGCACACACACATGCAGACACACACTCACACTCTAACGCACACACAGAAGTCAGTCGTAGTGTTTTTATGATGTGTGATTCAATTAACCAGCTCTTAAAGCAAGTAGATAATAGACAGGGTTGGACTTTGGAGTGAGGCAGACAGAATGAGAGATACTCAGGGGGCGTGAAAGTCCATTGTGTCAGCATTGTATCACAGCTGAGTAGCAGGGGGGTCAAAGGTCAATCCCATTCTGCTGCAGCCACAGTCACCTTGCAGGAGTGACGGAGCTATCTGAAGCAACATTGACTGAACCGACCGTCAGTCAGCCAACTCTGCAGAAAGTCTTAAACGGCTAATGGAGCTGGGAATACATCCCCATGGATTTATTGAACACTCAGCAGCACAGCACTGCCAGCAATACAAACTTTACACACACACACTGGGGTTTTTATACCCTCTATTTTGAATATATTTACATATGTTCTGTTAGTGGAGAGTTAGACATTGAATCTACTGTAACCTTACACATGTACATTAACAAAACAACTTGTTGACCTGAGTCTGTCGAACTCATGGTGAATTTAAATTGACCTCTACTGACGTCTATATCAGTGTGTTGGTCAGTCAGTCCTCCTCTTTGGTCCAGAATGAAACATGTATCATTAGTTATATTCTAATTTGTTGTAGACCTCGAATTGATGACTATTCGATCATTTGACTTAATTAGGCACATGTGGCTATGAAACCATCTTTCCATTTGTCGCCAGCTCAACTCTAGTCTCATGGTTTAGCACTTTAAAAGCATGCTGAGTTGTAAAGGCCCGGACACACCAAGCTGACACCAAATAACTCACACAGACGGACCCCGACTGTTGCGTCGCCTCACGTCTCTGCGTCTTGGCCATGTGTCGCACTGGAACACACCGCAAAGACTTCAGCCGACGGCCAAGAAGCACGTACGAACTGCGCATGCGTGAGTGGCAATAACTCTCCTTACCAGCAGGCGGCGGTAGTGTGTATTCGTCATTCAAAAGAGGCAACAACCGGAAGACAGACTGCGTGATAACCGAGAGAAGAAGAACAGACTGCGTGATATAAACAAACAACAAATAGCGTGTGCGTTCCATTTTCACTCTCATCCATCGAAAACATGTTTCGTGCGGTACTGGTGATGGTACTATTATCAGCCATTGGAGTGTTGCTTGTGGAAGACATTCTCAAGCAACCGTTTCGCTTCTCATGCACTGATTCGCTAACTGAACAGCCAATCAGAGTGATTTCTTTGTCCGACTGCCTGTGGCCGACGCACGGCCGATTCAACATGTTGAATCGGCCGTGCGTCGGCCAAATTGAGTTTGAGCGACAGGGCACGCTTCGTCGTCCGACTAACGAAAACGGCCGATTTCGGCCTGGTGTGTCATGGCCTTAAGAATATCCCAACAGCAGATGATGATATCAAGGAGCATCTACAAATCTGCAAAACACATTTGCTTATCTAACGTAACTAATGTGAAGGCTTATTTTGGTAATGTCCCTTTTGTCTAAGAGATGCTTTCAGTAACCCTCCCAATGGAGCTTTTATGTAATCCTAAAGAGAGTCATTGAGGTACAGGTCATGCTTAACCTTCAGCATGCCTTACAGGAAAGAAAGAAATCCATGAGAGTTATTGATTCTTGGTTTAAAGGGGAAATGATCAAATTTCACAACAATCAATGTATCCCTTTTGAGGTGTTAGAAATTGTATAGGTAAAAGCGTATCTTTGTGGATAAAGCGATCAATTTCCGCTGACCATTCATTGGGATACAGTGGCCAAAGCTAGCAGAGGAGGTAAATGAAACATAACTGGCTGTATTCACCTCAAGGCTCTATCTCACATCGAGTAAAGAACACATTGCGTCTCAAATGAATGCAGCTGAAGGGGGTTAATGGGTGTCTACTAGGGGTGTAACGGTATCCGTATTCGTCCCGTACCGTCACGGTTCGGACGTCACGGTTCGGCACACGCAGTCACACGACGAATACGCCTTTTTTTACGGGTGGGAAAAAAGTCTGTCATTCAGGGCAGTATCCACTACACTATATATAGTCCAGGGGGCGGTATTGCGCCTAAAAGCTGCCCTTAAACAACAAATGAAGAACAAGAAGAAACACAACAACAAAACGAACAAAATACAAGAAGAAGAAAAGTTAGTATTGCGATTTCAGTTAACACACAGGAGCTAGAACCCACCTGCTTCTTCTAAATCAGCTGTGTTGTAACATGTCGGGTTCCCTGTGGACTACAACAACGATGGAGTGCGAGTGGTGGATCGGACGAGGACGGTGTGTCGGCGTTGTTCGACAGCGGTGCGGTATGCTAATGAAACACACGCCAAACATGCTAAATCATATCAGAAGGCATCAGCCAGATTTGCCAATCACCGGAGCCCGGCAAAAGACAGCAGCAGTTCAACAGCTGATCCCCGCTGTTTTTGATAAACCAATAGACATGAAAGCAGAGAGACCAAAATAAATAACGGAAGCTTTTGGCATATGTTTTTCAACGACTTTGCGCTCTTGAAACACTTTCTTATTATTTATGATGTAATATTTTCAAGACATTCTTTTTAGTTTTACAGCTTGATGAAACCTTTTTGTTTGACATCAGCCATTATAGATAATATGGCCATCTGAGTGTGTGTGGTTTGTTTTTAACAGTTCATTATTCAAAATGTCAGTTTCTTATTTTTAAACTGAAACTTGCACTACTGTTCAAACATAAATAACAACAAACTTGTAATTATGTATTTGGGACTTTTTTTTGCTTTTTCTTGTTGTACCGAACCCGTACCGAACCGTGACTTCTGTGAACCGTTACACCCCTAGTGTCTACCAATAAGAGGGTCAGTGGTTTGATCCCCACTCCCTGCAGTCAACATGTCACAGTGTCCTTGGGCAAAACTTAACCTCAAAATGCTCCCGTATGTCTATGGTATTGAAGTGTATTGGATAAATGCTAAATAACATGTCTTGTAATGTATAGTTAATGACATAATGTGCTATGTATGTCAAGATTTACTATACATACTATAATGACAGTGTTTAGAACATCCAGAAACAATATAACAACTTAATTAGAATTAACTTTTACAATAACTACTAAATCCGTTCCCCAGTCCCCGTTATCATATCCTTCAGCAACTTAACCTTACATCGCTCCCGTATGTTTATAATAGTGAAGGGTATGTTAGTTGCTTTGGACAAAAGGGTCAGGTAAATTACATAATGTACATGTTCTCTGAACTAACTATTACAAGTGTAGGAGCCAAAACGCTGTGGTAGCCTGCGTTTATAGTTATGTTATCTTCATTATTTGTTAACACCACACACACTTAATAGGTTGTTTAAGGGTATTTAGGGCACTGGGTATATGTGGAGGTTTAATGGCATGACAATGGGGGTGAGCTTGCTATATTTTGTTGACTGTATGATTCTGTTTGTTTATTGTTTTGATTTACAATATTAAATATCCTTAAAACGTCGAGTTCAGTACAGACGTTATTATTTACACGCCTCACATCAATGAGCGAAGTTTAGCCTCAGAGCGGCCGTATTCAATGGGAATATAGCCGCCACAACAAGTACTACTAATAATGACACAATTCAACAAACCATAAAGTACAATACTCCAAAGCAGAGGTACTTCCCTCCATGTTAAACATGTATCCCCCCTGTCACATCCCCTCCGTGAGAATACAGATCATCACATGACATGCTTCATACTTGCCAACCCTCCCGATTTTCGCGGGAGACTCCCGATTTCATTGCCCTCTCCCGATTTCCTCCCGGGGTCATATCCCGATTTCTGACAAAATCAGATTTACTCAGTACTGTTTCCACTCGGACTTTAATACAGCTACACCATTGTTTGGTTTCCATGGTAGCGCGTCTCTTTAGTAGCGCGAGCAACTCAAAGTTTGAGAGGGTGAGGAAGATGAAAACTGAACAAGAATCGACAACTCGACCCTCTGCTCACTCCTTTCCTGTAAAACACAGGTCCAGTCCACACATATGCTCCATCAAGGATGGTGCTACAGGCCGCAAGGCAGTGCACTTACAACTACAATAAGCATGTTAATGTTAATCTAACAGCTCCGGCAGTGGTTTTGAAATGCTCCCGATTTCTGAGGTCTCAAGGTTTGCAAGTATGCATGCTGTACATTTCCCTCTGCATCGCATGGAAGAATATAACCACACTTACACAGTAATGGCCTCCGTTCCTGACGCATGAATAGCCTTTTCCCTCGGCTGAGGTGTCCCTGCTTGTCTGTGACTGTAGAGACTGTAAAGCCCCTCCAGTCCCACCGAGAACCAGGAGAAAAGAGTTGTCATGGCAGCTGAACTGAGGCAGGAATGCACATTACCATAGAGGAGAGGGAAACACACGAGAGAGAAACGCTGTCAAATCAATGCTTTAAGGTCTTACTGGCATGACATTAAATCACATCAAGAAGCAAATTCAGTTAAAAGAGAAACACAGAGATGTTAAAAACACTACTGAACACATCATTCATTTGCTAATTGTAATTTGAAATGCCCTGTTGGTAACACCAGCTCATCTTATTGTATACTGCATAGGTTTTTCTTAATATGCAGCAAACTTAAATCGACATGAACTGAGTGGAAAGAGAGTGGAGGAGAGGCAGAGATGTGTGAGTACACTGAGACGTCTGTTATGCTGTGTGTGTGTGTGTGTGTGTGTGTGTGTGTGTGTGTGTGTGTGTGTGTGTGTGTGTGTGTGTGTGTGTGTGTGTGTGTGTGTGTGTGTGTGTGTGTGTGTGTGTGTGTGTGTGTGTGTGTGTGGGGGGGGGGGGTGAATGTGCTGTGAATGCAGGGGAATGACAGGCAGGGATTAGAGGGGAGGTGGTGCCATTGAAAAGGAGCTGATCCAGGGAGCCGAGCTGACACTTGAACACAGCCGGCTGACAAGAGGCTGTTCCACACAGACACACACACACACACACACACACACTATAGGGAGCATGAGGGGGTGCATTGGTTCATTAGTCGTCACTGTAGAGACAGACGATGCTATGAAGCGAGATTAACGGGCTGTGTATCTGTTAAAGGTTGGAGTTGGTGCAGTACTCTGATCTCTGTAGGGGTGCTTTTTATTTTAAAAGTAGGTTGAGTATAAATGTATTTCACTGCATGGCCTCGGAGAGAGTTCTATAGGCAACTGAAGACCCATCTTTTTAAATCGGCCTTTGTGTCTTCTTGAAATGTGTGTGATGTTGTTTTGTTTGTTCCTTTTGGGACTCTTCGTTGTCTAACATGTCTTGTTTTTATGTTAACCTTGAATAATGGCACCTGTTTTTCTTGTATTCGTTGTTTCTTGAGTAGCAGTTTGTGAATTGTGTTCCTGTGAAAGGGGCTATACTAAATAAACGTATTATTATTATTATTATAGGCAATCCAGCCGGGGGGGGGGTACTGGGGCTCAGATAGGCCAGGATCAGAATCAGGTTTATTGCCAAGGACGTTTACACATACAAATAATTTGATTAGGTGTATAGGGGCGCAAACATTAACACAGTTAGAGGAGCTACGTTTTAAGAAAAATACCAACAACACAACTATTTGTAAACTATTATAACTTTATATGGAGAAATATGAACACTAATGTAAGAAAAACTACGTACAGTAACATATGACAACGGAAAAATGTCCAGTGTTGGAATTTGAAGTGGAGAGCAGTTGGAGAAACGTTGGATATTTAGAAAGGGATGTGTGTAATTGAATATTGAATATATATATAGATTTTAATCTCAATGAGACTTTTACCCGCCCCACCCTCATGGACACAGAGCCCCCCCCCCCCCCCCCCCCCCCCCAACATAGCAAATCCCACCTGAACCCCTGTCTATAGGTAAATATGTAACAATCACACTTTGACAACACACTTTGCAATCATTCAAAAACTATTACAATGTCATTTTATAATATACAATGTATCTGAAATTGAATTACATATGTTATAGAGAGGATGATGTGGATGTGGATGTGTTGTAGTACACGTGAGGTATGAGAGGTACACACATTCTCTGACAGAGATAAAACACATTGCGGTTAACAAGTTTCCTGCTGAAACAGGATGTTGGGTTGCTGCTTGCATAATTGTCACCAGTGATGCATTTAGTTTAGATTGAACAAAATCAGCTTAATATCATATTTGAGAATTTATTTTTTTAATTTGTAAGAACACAAATAGGACCAGGCGTAAGATACAATTCGAGGAGGACATTTCCCATTTTGAGTATCAAGTTACTTTCAGTACTTTCAGTATATGAGGCAACACTATCGGTTTTAATATTATCTGTTTTGACTTTTTGTTTTCTACCGTAGAATTGAAACATTGTACTGGTATTTGTATCGCCTGTTACATTCCTGGTATCCTGATATCCCCACATGAATGCACTTTGTAGGGAGTTTGGCGTGGATCTGTTGATATTTCTACCGTTGCCACAATAAAGGTTAAAATGATGGGTTTCATATATTTAAAACAAAGCCAAAGTTAATTGGTGTATTTTGGGTAACTGTTTATGTGGATTCTCTATCAAGAGAGTGTCCTTTGATTTCAGACTACAAACCCAACATTAAACGATGGCTATCATTTCCATTTCCGAGTCAATGGCTCATCAACATCTCCAATGTTGCACTCCAAGTCAGTTCTGCAGAAGTGATTATCAATAACTTACATGGAAGAATATTATATAACACTTTACATTCTGCACTTTTCTATTCCCTCCTCACGTATTACCTACTTGCTGTACATTTGTATTTCAACATGTGTATTTTATACTTTTTTAATGCTATTTTATTTCTATGTGAGATTTTTACATTTTGGATTGTTTATTTCTACTCTTTTAATTTCTCTAATGTCAATGCCTTGTCTTTTTTATGCTGTTGCAACGCAACAAAAGTACTTATTCTGGTCTTCACCAACACTGAGTTATTTTAAGTCGAGGCTAAAAAATTACTTTTTTCAGCTGCTTACCCAGAAGTCTATTTTAGCACCTACTGTATTTACAACTATTCTGTATCTCTTCTATGCATGGTTTTTATGAATCTGTTATTCCATGATGTTTATTTACTGTGTTCCTTTCTGTTGTCTCCTTATTGTGTGTTAATGATGAAGTAAAGCACTTTGAATTGCCTCTGTGTCTGAAAATGTGCGATATAAATAAACGTACCTTCTTATCCAATCCATATCTTTTGGAAATGGAGCTGCAGTAGGCATCACAATACGTTGATGAATGTCGGTCGTCAGCTCTGTGAGGTTAAGAGCTGGCTGTCACACTCAGAGAGCGAACAGCTGGAACAAGCACAGTCTCCAGAGTGTTCACACAGGAATAATTGCTTAACTACCTAAGGTCGGGGGGGCCTCGGCTCACAATGCTGACACTATTTTAATCAGATATGCTGCTCTTGCATGCGCTACTCCCCACAAGGCTCACAAAAATCTCTGCTTACCGGGAGTTCCTTTGATTATTTCATCCTGACAAGTCGGACCATTGTTGTAAATTAAACAAGCACAACGGTATGTCGTGTTATCTCCAGAAACAGAGACGTGAGGCAAAGCCAGTGGTTTTTGTGCAGGAGGTTGATTAGGAGCACAAACACCTCTCGCCTCCCGCTGCGCTGCACTGAGGGTTGGTGTGAGACTTTGATCCCAGTGCTTTCTCAAACACGACACACACACACACACGGCCGTAAACACATGACTGCCTTCTTGATTGCTGAGGTTTCAATGGATTTAAAACATAAAAAACAACTAGAAATGTGGATTCCTCTATTGAGTGGTGCAGTGATGTGTGTTTTTGTAGGCCGACCCAGAAGTTAGCACGACAAGGGTTTCCTCAACAAAATGCCAACTGGATTTCCAATGTAATCCATTACATATTGCAGAGAGTGATGTTGTTGGCAAACACACATTTATGACAATTGACAGGTTTTGAGATATACAGAACCTCCAATTATTAACACCACTTTTATAAAGGCTGAGGCGCAGAAAGAACTAAGGTTAAGCTATTGAGGAACACATTATGGTCACATGACTTCACGTTAACACCGCTAAGCTAAAGGCGGCTAATGTTCAGTGTGGTGACGTTTAGCAGTCTCATTTAGCAACCGCCATTTTTAGGACACATAAAAGCTTCATACAGTATACCACCATTGGGTTATCTACTGTTTTTTATGTCGTTTAATAAAATGTGAACATCTTACAAGATTGTAGTGACCATATGTTTTATTAATCTAATCAAAAACTCGCCGAGGGAACCCGAAAGTGCTTTAATGCTAACTCATTTCCAGGTTTAAGACTCAGTCCTGCACCATTCAACACTTTCTGCACAACACTTTGTAAAATCCACCACTGCATGTACAGTATACTTCTATGTATCTAACTACATTGTCTTAGTGAGTCCTGAAGCTGAAGGCTGCATGCACATACACCACGTTGTTCTATGCAAATATATGCATGTTTGCATCTGTCTTCTGTGCACCCACACAGAAAACTAACCACACTTCCTTATAAAACAAGTATAACATCCAGGAAGAAAATAGCACCTGCAATGATCCATCAATTCCCATTGGTTTGGTGAGAGGGGGATTTATTGACTGGCAGAGTAAATGCAAGGCTTACTCACTGTCAACAAAACCCAAGAGGCAGTGTGCTGGAAAATGTAGTGCTGCGGTGCCAGGTCGCTCCACATAATTCCCCTGAAGGCTGCTGTCTGCGATGAGCCATGCTCACTGTGGCTGAGAGAGGCAGACCCAACCCAAATAAGATCCCATCACACACTGCTGCCCACCTAAAACCCACCAATCAGGCTGCAGGGTTTGCTTAAAGGTCACCTATTATGCGAAATCCACTTCTTCATGTCTCTTCTACATCAACATGTGTCCCCTCTTCTTCATGTCTCTTCTACATCAACATGTGTCCCCTCTTCTTCATGTCTCTTCTACATCAACATGTGTCCCCTTTTCTTCATGTCTCTTCTACATCAACATGTGTCCCCTCTTCTTCATGTCTCTTCTACATCAACATGTGTCCCCTCTTCTTCATGTCTCTTCTACATCAACATGTGTCCCCTCTTCTTCATGTCTCTTCTACATCAACATGTGTCCCCTCTTCTTCATGTCTCTTCTACATCAACATGTGTCCCCTCTTCTTCATGTCTCTTCTACATCAACATGTGTCCCCTCTTCTTCATGTCTCTTCTACATCAACATGTGTCCCCTCTTCTTCATGTCTCTTCTACATCAACATGTGTCCCCTCTTTTTCATGTCTCTTCTATATCAACATGTGTCCCCTCTTCTTCATGTCTCTTCTACATCAACATGTGTCCCCTCTTCTTCATGTCTCTTCTACATCAACATGTGTCCCTTCTTCTTCATGTCTCTTCTACATCAACATGTGTCCCCTCTTCTTCATGTCTCTTCTACATCAACATGTGTCCCCTCTTCTCCATGTCTCTTCTACATCAACATGTGTCCCCTCTTCTTCATGTCTCTTCTACATCAACATGTGTCCCCTCTTCTTCATGTCTCTTCTACATCAACATGTGTCCCCTCTTCTTCATGTCTCTTCTACATCAACATGTGTCCCCTCTTCTTCATGTCTCTTCTACATCAACATGTGTCCCCTCTTCTTCATGTCTCTTCTACATCAACATGTGTCCCCTCTTCTTCATGTCTCTTCTACATCAACATGTGTCCCCTCTGTGGAAAGAGATTCTGAAAGTGTCAGGAAAAAAGATTCTCTCTCTTTTTGTCCTGATCCATTTCTATAAAAACCTGTCTGAAAATGAGCTGATCAGATTTTGGCCACTTTATGATGTCATAACGATGTTTTGTCTTGTGTAACCATTAGCCAATCACCAACCAAGGTAAACCCCCCCCCCCCCCCCCCCCCCTTATCACCTGAATCTCCTCCTAGAGCACCATTGAGTTCTTTGTAACCAAATCTCTCTCAGAGGGGCGTGGGGAGGGGCTCCTTATTTTCATCTAAAGTAACAGACAGAGAATCAGCACTTTGGAAACAGGGCTGAAACAGAGGGGATTATGGGTAGTGCTGCAATGATCTGTTTGGTGTTTCAGCCAATCAGAGACAGGCTCTGTATATATCTGAGACCTATAATATATTGATGAAAAACAGTATAATAGGGGACCTTTAATATCTGTGTTCAAACATAACACCAGACTTTAACCTGCACTCTCATCTGCATACTTATGTAAATATATTTAACATGTTCATACAAATGCACAACTTTTTAATTTGAATCCTGTTTTTCATTCTGACCCTGTTGCTGTTATTAACTCCTGTTTTTCCCCAAGGGGATACATAAAGTTTCATCTTATCTTGTCTTATATGTTCATAAAAAACTAGTCATATGAGCCAATGCCAAAACTGAGCATAAAGGTATTTAAATCAGACATCTATCATTGGTACGGTCCATTTTTTACATTTTAGATGTGCTATACGGTGATTTCTTTGACAGTTTCTGAATGAAAAGCATTTGATTTAGCCCTTAATTTACTTTGGATTCCACACAATGGAGGGATACCGGCCATTATTTTCGTTAGTGCTATTCGTCATTGTCATAATCCTATTATTTTATTGTCAGTAATAAACTATGAGATGCTGTTAGCTGAGGCAGAGGTTTGTTACCTTGCCAAAAATATAAAATTGCCAATTTGCATAACACAATATCCATCCAAAAAAAGTCAACACCTGTCTTTCTGTATGATTTAAGCTTGCCTATGGCGGCTAATATCAATATGTTTGTATCTAAGAAGTGGCGATTAGCAGTCAGGCTATTGTAGCTTTGTAAATGTTAGTTAATGCCAACATGGATTATTCTACACTCTGCCAATATCATGGAGCTTCATAAGTGACCTGCTGTAAAGCTTCTTAATAATTAAAACATCTGCATACATTATATCTGGATATGTGAGTGTGTGGTCAATATGAATTCAACCATCTGTCCCATATCATTCTTCACCATAATGTCATTGCCATGCATACAGTTTCATATCATGCATGCGTTCCCTGGTACCATCCTGTCTATCATTTGTGAATGATGGTTTGTTGTAACCATGTGATTGCTGAGGGATGGAAATATGCCTAATGACAGGAGCAGTGTCCCATCTGTTAGCTAATTGTAGACTCAAACATGGTGTGTTTGCATGCAGCATTACAAAACCGTTTTGCTCATGCTTCATTGCACAGGCCTTGACTTAACGGAGCGTCCACACAGCAGCGTGCGTTGACGCTTGGCGGTGGGCGTGTCTGAAGCTTGGGGATTTTTTGCAAGCAACAACCAATCACATGAATCTCCAGCCCCCGACATACAAAGCAATAGCAATGTTAAAACGAAGTAAACTGGATATAAAATCCCCAAACAGGCGAAAACCTACCAGTTTCACCCACTGTCTCTGCCACCTCCCTCCATGCCTCGCTCCTCCGGTTTCCGTGTGCAACTCGATGTTGACAGGATAACAACTGGTGACTTCTAGAATTGTGTGAGTAACATTCTGTGTTTAGACTTCTCTGTTTCAGTGTGTGTACTCTGTATCAATGCTCTGTAGTTGATCTGACTGAAATTGTGATTTTAAATCTCAAAACCGCTACAGTATCTGTCAGGCAGAAACTTGGGACAAGTCATTTGACTGAAACCTTAAAACTGAACTAACTGACTGCTAGGGTTAACTTTGATTTAAACATTTGTAGAATACTAAGAGCTTTATTGAGTAGGTGTAACTGTATTAAGGGTTAAACTCATAACTTTATAACTTAGGGTTTAATGTAATTGTAAAACCATTGGGCCACTGAAAAGACAATAACAACTCAGGAGGGAGCCAGTCTAGATTTCCTTTGAGGGCCACCAGCTCCAGAGAGTGAACTAATTAAAGGGATGTGGCCCCACAGCTGTGAGAACTCAGCAATCAGGTGTCCATTTTAGGTAGCACTTTCCTGGAGCATCAGCTTCAGCGTCAGACAGGCTAAGACATTAGAGTCCTGCTGGAGTCACGAGGGTGGAAAAGAGGAGGCAACTCCTACTTTGATTGAGCTAAAGTATCACTGGTGTTTTATTTTATTTGGTTGTTTAGCCCCTCATGCTATAATCATGTGTATTTTCTCCATTCCTGTTCATGTGTCTTCTCGCAACTATCACTGGCCCCGTGTATCTCGTAATTGATATAACCGGCCTGCTCTCGTCTATCCCACGTGCTCCACTGACATCCAACATCTAGTTACAGGCGGCCTGTGGAACTGCCAGTCAGCTGTTCCTAAGGCCGACTTCATCTCTGGCTACGCTTCCCTGCAGTCTCTGGATTTCCTTGCTCTCACTGAGACGTGGATTACTCCATTCAACACATCCACCCCAGCAGCTCTCTCCACAGTATATTCCTTCTCCCATACACCCAGACCCACTGGCAGAGGAGGTGGCACTGGTCTCCTGCTCTCACCCAAATGGAGCTTTTCCCTCTTCAAGCTACCTAACTTTACTCCTTCCACCTTTGAATTCCATGCCGTTACAGTAACCCATCCTATACAATTAATCATTGTTGTTCTCTACCGTCTACCAGGCGCCTTG